GTTAGTATAAGTTGGATTTCGATTGAGAGTCTAATTTTAATTAAGACTCTTCCCCTCCAAATCTTTAAAAGGGAGGTATGACAGCCCTAAACACAATAACACAGAGAGTTGACTACAATTCAAAGAGAGAGTACCTGACCCTAAAGAGAAAAGGAAAGAAGGAGAGAGGTGATAGTAGGTTATAACATTAACAAGTACAAGCTATCAAATAAGTATTCCTTTTCTTCAAAAATCAATCTAGATTTTTTCTCTATCAATCCTCCTAGAAAGCGTAAATCCACTTTGAAGAAGGATCGATATCACCAAATCCTTTCCCCATATGGATCATTTGATAAATTCTTTATTTTAAGCATATTCCTCATTATATTCAAGATTTTTCATTCTTTCATTCTACCACATCATTATGTTGGGATAAATAACGTATTGTTAGATGATTGACTACTCATCATAAAAAAAATTTAAATGCTTTACGATTGAATTCACTATCCTATTGATATAGTAGTTATCTTTAATAACTACTTGCTGAATTTATGAAAGACTTTTAATTTGTCTTTCAAACTATATACCAAGTTTTCTTGTATAATCATCAAGTGAGGAAATAACGATGCTTGTTAAAAACATTGTTGGAGTAATCTGACCACGAATATTAGTGTGAATTAACTAAAGTGGCTTCAGTGATCAGAAATTTGGCTCATGAGAAAGCTTTTTCTTGGTTAGTTGGTAAGTGGTTTCATGAGAAATATAAGACACATCATGTACCATCTTTTTTGCTCATAGCATATTGAAATCATCAAAGTTTTCCATATGTCTCTAAAGATATCATTGTATCATTCTTGATACTTAGAATGAACAATCTATTCTTTGGGATCTCCACTAGGGTAATTAAGCAATTAGTATTGGTTCTTAAAAATGATTTATTATTTTTCATATAAATGCCATAGACATTTTCTAAAATTATTCATGCAAAGTAAACAATTAAAAGAAATCAATAATTTCTATCTTTGAAGTTGATATCGTCAATTTTGATTTACAATCCAAATAGGCAAAATTGACTTATCTTCTGAACCTCGTTGTATTATCGAGAATAGTTTTATCTATCGAGAGGCGAATTTCTCTTGAGGATAAAAAATCTACATCTAATTTTAATCCATTATTGCAAAAGACTATGCTAAGGGTGCATCCAATAAGATCCTTCGGATAATTAATTTTATTTCAAAATAAAATAGCTAAACTTAATGTTAAATTTGAGGTCTTAACCATTGTTATCCATGACAATAGACAGTTAAAGCAGACACACTATGTATATGAGATTTCTTCATCTGGTAAGGCTTGTCGGGCACTTCAAATAATTCATTGTCCTAAGAAATGCATTACATGCAGACATGAGCTACATCAGGCATATCAAAATTTTCCTTATTTTGAGCAAATCCATCACATATAAAGAAGATATTTCAATTTATGTTAAATATATATATTTTTGTCTCAAGTGAATGCATCATGTACCAAGATGGTACATCCTGGTTGTGTTAGTTTTGGTGAGTGCTTCAAGTGCTTTGTCATGGGTGATTACAACAACGGAAATAAAGACCCTTTGGACAATATTAGGTGCTTTAATGTTTGTTTGTCTAGGACAAACATATTATGTACAAAAGGAACAATTTGAGTTATGGTAAACTCTTTAGATGTTTTTTTTTTGTATATGGAGAATGTATCATGTGCATGTGTAAGAAGAATATTTTGATTATAATAAGTACTTTAGATGCTTTTTTGTTTCGAATGCGTTGCATGCAAGAGAAACAATACTTTGAGCTTGTAGGGTGCTTCAGATCATGGTCTGCAGTACCGGACTGTACCGCCCGGTACGGGCGGTACGTACCGATTCGACAGACTTCCGGTATGCGGACCATATGTTACCGGTTCGACACTATAGCAACACTGTAGCAATACTGTAGCAGTGTTACAGTGCTCGGCATGCATATATCGAGCGGTACACCTGGGTGTACCGCTCGATATACCGTACCGTACCGGTACCGAGCCCAGGTCGAAACTCCGATACGGTACGGTATTGCGGACCTTGCTTCAGATATTATTTTTTCTTGAGATACATCATGAATTGCATAAAGGGGACATAATATTTTTAGGTATAAAGCTACTTTTTTGTATTTGTACAATCGACTTTAACAACGTAAGTGATTGACTAAAACGATGATAAAGAGCTTCACTTGCAATAGAGAGATTTGGGTTCATCTTAAGGGAGATCTTGTCCTAAGTTAACAGCATGCATTAGGCACACACGTAACATAAGAATGTGAGAACCTCAAGACACAGTTGACCAAGGGTTCATCCTCATCCTCTCCTTATCTAACTATAAGGAGTATTACAATAGTTATTTTAGTGATAGTTATAGAAATGTGACTGACGTAGGAGGGAGATTTTGAAGATCCATTTGGTAGAATGTTTTCCCGAGAAAATCTCATATCTTATGACATTGAGACGCTTATTTTAACCAAATTATCTTCTTAAAAAAGAGGTTGTGACATTTCAGGAAGTAGCCATGATATGACTAGACTAGAGTTTTCTGGGGTGTTCGAGGGGAATGATAGATCATTGGGTGGGTGAGGCTAAAGAAGGCTTTTAGTTTGTATATTGATTTGAATTGGATTTTCTATTAGGAAAATAAAATTTTAATGATATGGATCCAAGATTGACCGAGATGCTCCTACAAAGGAGAAATTAGAGACTCATGCTTTATAGCCAATTATTATAGTGAAGGTTGGGATTGACCCATAAATTCTTATGGGTTCTTTTAGGTTTGATTGACATATGATATTTTCTAATGCCAATCTAAAATGGTAAATTTTGATCATTAATTTAACATACAAAATCGGAGTAGTCTCTTTTTCGAAAATCGAAGTTTAAACTAGAAAAGAAAATTCTTAGTAGTGTAGTTTTAAGATCGACCCAAATACTCCTAGAAAGGAGAAATTAGAAACCTATACATCGTGGCCGATTATTGTAATGAATTTTGTGATTCACCAACAAATTCTTATGAGTTCTTTTAGGTTTAGTTTTCATATGATCTTTTCTAATACCAATCTAAAATGATAAATTTTGGTCATCAATTCAATTCAACATATAAAATTGATTTAACCTAGTCTTGTTTTCAAATATCATCAAATCTATAAGAGATAAAAAAAATTATTTAATTAAGAAAGAATTCCACTCTAAAATAAAAAAAAAATACTTGTATCTTGTTCAAGTCTATTCTTATAAAAGATTATACCCCCGATGTGTATTCGAGAAGCCCCTTCAATGGTTCCAAGTAAAAAGAGATCCTTAGGAGTGAGTTTGAGGATTTAGATTTACTTAAGTTCGATAGAAACTTTCCTAAAAAGATTATATGATATGATATTGGTTTTGTAACTATTGTTGGCCACAAAATATGTAAGGCCTTAGATGCGATGCTGATATAGCATGTCCAATTGGCTCCTTGTCATATCCGAACTAATTGAGTAGCATATATCGGTCCCGATCCAATTGATCAAAAATAATGTACATATGAAGGATGAATTAGGATGTTAGTGAGACTTTTAGTCTTCAAAATAGACTCGTCTCGATTCATCTAACTCTATAGACTTGTTTTTATCTCATATGATTGCTTTTTTATGTTCTTTATTTATCATCTCTCATCCGACTAAAATAATTTTCATATGACTAAACTAATTTTTCTTGATATATTCTATTTTTTATAGTTCTTGTTGACACAATCTACCTATCTCTGATAATTATTGGAGAGAAGAGAGAGAGACAGAGAGAAAGAGAATTATGGAACTTCCAAAAAGAAAATTAAAGAATCTATAATCTTCTTATAAATATTATTTTTGACAAAGACAAGTTTTACTCATTTAATATCTATTCGTAGGAATCAAGAGTTCATAAAAGGTCACACTAAATGTCTGTCATACATACATACATACATTCGACAATGGTTCAATATATCTATACAACATTTTAGTTTTTATATATATCTTTATGGTAAATTTTCATATAAAAGGAATTAAATTTAGTGTATTGTTTGAGGGTCCGTTTCCTTACATAATTCAATTATTATTATTATTATTATTATTATTATTATTATTATTATTATTATTATTATTATTATTATTATTATTATTATTATTATTATTATTATTATTATTATTATTATT